TAGGAGTGACCCTTTGAAGGGCTATAACTTTTGAAATATCGGTCGGAACGCTTAGGACCCTGATAGTTTTCGATAGAACTCCTCGGGGAGCGACCAGAACTCCCGCAGAAACTGCCGATTTCCCCCCCAAAAAATTACCCTTCGGGACTTAGAAAATTTTCAAGGTGTGACACTTCAAAAATCTGTAACTTTTGAAATATTGGTCGTAGCGTTATAAAACCTATAGGGAACTCTAGAACTCGTCGAAATCTTTCTGAATCTACCATAAAAAATTGATTTTAAAAAAAGTAGAAATTTTTTGTTTAACTTTGACATCAATTTTTGGGCTTATTTAAACGGAACTCTTTTTAAAACCTATAGAGAACTCTAGAACTCATCAAAATCTATCCGGGACTACCATAAAAAATTCATTTTTTTTTTAATGGGGGGCGCCGTAAAGTTAGCCCCCCCATTTTTAAAATGGTGTTTTCACCACTTTAAATGACGGAATTCTTTCTAAAAACTACAGAGAACTCTAGAACTCTTTCTGGGGAATCCAGAACTCTAATAAAATTTTTCGAATTTTGAAAAAGGGGGCCAACTTCACAGACATAAAGGTAGACGGTCCGAAATGTTACAAACGACACAAAACAAATCTCGAGAAATACATTCATCTTATAATTGTTATGTATCCTTTAATGTGAGACATGCTCTCTCGAACAAGGTTAAACAAAAAAGAGTTATAAAATGCTGTAGCATAATGCAACCAACGAGAGAAAGGTAGCGGAGAGTGCCGTCGGGGGGCGACGTTCGGAAAGATAAAAACTCTGTGATATATATGCGAATGACAAAGGAGGAATCTCGAGAAATACGTTAATTTTATCATTGTTATCTATCCTTTAATATGAGGCATGCTCTCTTGAACAAAATTAAATGATAAAAGATATAGCCCATCACATGCCTCGGTGATCGAATTGGTGTGACGCCCGCACGGTATAAGAGAGGTCCAGGTTCGAATTCTGGCTGAGGTGATATTTTTCGCAATAAATTCTTTACAGTAATATTTGGAGGAAGGAGATGTTAGATACAATGCGTATCAGCATAAGAAATTAAGTCGATTATCGATTTAAAAATATGTAAATTTACTGTTCCTACAAGCATGCTGTGTTTCAAGACCGACAATTCAGTTGGCGCGTAGTATTTGTTGGAAATAGTATCTACTAAAGATTCACACGAAAAATTATTTCGTTACTTACAATAGATCCAAAAGCTCGGACTAGACGGCATTCTCACATTATATCGATTAAATCTTAGAGTCCTATGTCCTATACTATTGTTAATAATAATAATAATTAATTTATATTAATAGAAATTAATAAACAATAATTATAATAAATTATGCTTAAAAAGGGTCTTTTGTGAAATTTTTAATAATTTGTTCCACTTTACAGTGCTGTAGCTCGCTATCTATTACATATACGAAAAAATGTTTCAGACAAAAGTTGTAGGGAATTATATCTTCTATAAAATTGATAATAATTATTTTTGTCTAAATACCTACTGGTAAGGAGATATTCCAAAAAAACCGGTTTTGTGCTCCATTTTTTCAAGATGGCGGCGCGAGCGGAAGTACGCCAAGGTCGAAAACTTGGATTTTTCATTAGGATCCCAAAATATAAAACATATCCAAAAATCAGAACTACCCGACCTTTTGTAGGGCAAGACCTATTTTTTTCCCCTGCTACTGGACTAATTATAGAATACTGTTGCATAATGCTAGGCAACGAGAAAAAAGAGCTACGAATGCCGTGGCTGTTCGGTCGGTGAGAAAATCGGAGCCTCAAAATGTGACAAACGACACTTAAACAAATCTCGAGAAATACGTTCATCTTATCATTGCTATGTATCCTTTAATGCAAAGCATGCTCTCTCGAACAAGATTAAACAATAAAGAGTTATAAAATGCCTTTGCATAATGCTAGGCAACGAGAGAAAGGAGCTATACGAATGCCATCGCCCGATACTAAACACGATGAGTCTCAGAAATTATACGTTGACACAACGCTAATTGTTTCATGAGCTTTTGTTAATCTCTATTAAATAATTAAAAATTTTTTATCAAAGTAATGTAAGTTATATCTTGCTGTTTCGAGAAAAACACATGCATTACGGGTTTTCTCAATTTACTACGGTGTCATGATCACCGTGGGAAATAAGTTGAAGCGTTTTACGTGCCGCATAAGCGTCAATTAATTGTAATTTAAACAAATATAATTAATAAATATACTAATAATAAACGAAATTTCGTATTTTAGTGTTTATAGGTTAAATTTAAACAATTAAAAGAATTTGATCACGTATCGTAGAGATGCACAAAAGATCATAACAATGGTTATAAAAGTACATATTCTATTAAGAAGTTAGACGAAAATGGCGATTTTCAGCGTCGAAAACTCGCGTTTTAAGGGTCGACAGGAGTAACACTACCGACCTTTGTCGGGTTTCTTAGCTGCGAGTCCGTATTTTATTTATTATAAATTTTTTAAGAGCCAAAATGGAAAATCCGGCTCTGTACCAGCTTGCGGCTGATTTTACTGATTAAAACGAGCATAAGTTTAATGAGATTCGTTAATTAATTTGGCTAAAATTTGGGAAAAACCGTTCCTAAGTAACTTTTCAGGCTTGCTTAAAGCTGTACTGACATTATCGACACTGACATTATCGGTCTAAGCAATATCTTTGAATTGGCTGAACAAAATGGAAAATCCTTTTACACGATTAAAGTACGCACAAAGATGTAAAGGGTTGTACATCATTTTTTCTGATAAACTAAAAAAAATTTTATTTTTATAAATATTGTCCTAACCTGACGACAATATTTGCTTTATACAAAAATTCTGCAGTTTTTTTTATAGGAAATAGTGATAAAGCCCTCTACAAAAAACTGTCAGGAATAATATCGTGCAATTAGAAGTAAGATTTGAAGCCTAAAAAAAAAGATATTACTTAGACCAGTGGAAGATGCAAGGTTAGATGCTCTGTATGTATGTGTAAGAATCAGTGAGCACTTTTTTATCGACGCTGATCAAGTTCAGCTGCGCTCTGTATGTATGTGTAAGAATTGGTGAGCACTTCTTTATCGACGCTGATCGAGTTCGCTTAAGGGGATCCTGCAGCCGTATGATTTACCGACATTATCGTTTTTCGATGGATCTTTTAATTGGCTTTACAGAATTGCAAGTTTTTGGTCTAGAATTAAAGTACGCACAAAAATCTAGAGTAGAAAACGCGATTTTATATCAAAAACACCAAAAAATTAAAAATATTACTTATTTGGGCACATACGCAGCTATCACCTGACGACAATATTTGCTTAAAACAAAAATTCTGCAGTTTATACATACATAATTTTTATCATCTGCCCTTGAGAAAACATGTAGGAATAATATCGTGCAAGTAGAAGTAAGATTCAATGCGTACAAAAAAAGATCCACCGAAAAATTATTTTAGTAATGCAAATACGGATGCAAATGACAAGAAAAGCAGCAACAGTAGTTGCCGGATCTTGCGAGAGATGGCGAGCAATCGAAAAAAAAACAGATGTCATTTCGTTAGACAAAGACAGATATAGAGAAAACAAAATTAGAAAGGTTGACATTATCGACATCGAGGAAGTTCGCCAGTCACTGCAGGATCCCCTTCCCGGCTCCAGCATCCCGGTGATCCTAAAGCCGTGATCCTAACCGGTTTTTTTTCAGTTTTTTTCTTAGCACTAATCTTTTAATTGGCTTTATAGAAATGCAAAATTCTTGTCTAGAATTAAAGTACGCATCAAAATCTAGCTCATCGTGGTCGAATTTATATGTGGTGATCGTCACGTATAACAAAAAATATTAATTTTTTTTCGTTTTCAATATAAATTCGACCACCATGACCTAGATTTTGATACGTACTTTAACCTTATTCGCTCCAACCACGGTCTTACATACAGGTCTGGAGACTACCGCTAATTCCAGTGGTGGGGGTAGGTCGCTTAGTGAAGTTGTTTTTAAGTCATCTAATAGCCACTAGAGTCGTTGCGATCGATGTTCGCGCGGCGGCGAGGGACGCCGGAGGCTGGGGGGGATATCTGTCATATGAAATTTGGCGGAGTGGTTTTGTGTCAACTTCGTAGTCTCGACATTATGGGTTCGAATCTCCGTGCCCTTAATTTTTTTTTTTTAATTTTTTCACAATAATAATGTGATAAATAATAATGCTTTAAATAATTAAAGACTACAAATTAATAAAATATGTATAAATATAAATATAAATATAAATAAATATATAAAAATAAATATAAATATAAAATAAATACGAGTTTTTATATTCTAAAAATTAAGAACAAATAAAAATATTTTTTATGTTTATTTTTATCCTTTTTTTTATTTTTGTGGGTATTCCAGGTTGTCAATTCAAGGTAAGTATTCGCTGTGTGCGCAGAGACTAGTGCTGCCACGGTTAGTGAAATATCGCACTTTTTGATGGAATAGCTGTATGGAATAGCTGTCAACGATTGTGAATATTCGAGCTACGTGTAAACTGTCGTTAGGTAATTTAAATCTTAATTTCAATGATGATATTACAAAAATTATAGTTGAAAAGATTTTTCGAGAGAAATTAACCTACATTTGTTTTAAAGGTTAACCTTTTTCTGACTTTTTGCAATGAATCTTATTATACGAACGGGATTTGGACCTGTCACTTATGACATTAAATTTAATCCAAGTTCAATACCAAAAGGAAAAGCCTTAGCAATATCGCATGTGGTTCGCGTTGAAGAATTGCGTAATGAAAATATAAGCCATTTAATAAGGTGCAGTGTAATACCGCAAACATCTGTCAATGCTATTCCGTACAAGGTACAATTACATGTAAGTATATCAATATTAATGAAATTCAAGTCAATCGTAAATAAATAAAAAAACGTTTAAACAAGAACAAAAAATTATTGTTTTGATTATTTATTCAAAATACATTATTGACGCGTTTTTACACGAAACGAAAGAATCTGGAAGAAAAACGCGGCAGTCTGCCTCGCGAAGCGAGATATTAATCGTTAAAGTTGACAACTATTTAAGTTAGAAAACCTGTCATATCGATGAAATGTAGCGACATGTACATGCCCCGTAGTCACATGTCGATTAAGCATAATTTTATTGATATTGGAGGTGAGGCCCGTATTCTAAATAAATACCATTATTTTAAACGAGGTAAAATATGATCATATAATCTCAAAGAATATACTTACTTTATTTTTTGTACCCAACGTATCCACATTTTTCGCTGCTCAATTTTATAAATCGCTTTTGGAAAGGAATAAAATTTTATTTCTGAACTTGTATTGTGAAATACATTCTTACACGTGTTCACGCAACAATTTAAATTTCCTTTCCGCAATTTTTCCATTACGATGTATTAGAAAACTCCAGCAAATAATGCAAATTCCGGCCACCATGGGCGCTCTAAGTCCTACTTTTCCGCTATAGTATACCAGCGCACACAGCGAATAACGAATAAAAATCAACTCTTTAATTTTATCTCCTTTTATTTTATTTTTAAAATTCTTGCAGGTATTTCAGTTTTTAAAATCAAGTACATACGAGAGAAAATATAAATCAATCCTTCAATTTTTGCATTTTATTTTATTTTTTACAGGTATTCCAAAGTTGAAATGGACAGTGGATTAACCAAACTTGTAGAAAATTTAATACTCTACAATTTTGGTCTTTATCATTTTTTACCTAGGATCGATATTTTGGGTCTTAGACTCGAAAGTGGGGGGTGAAATTTTATTATTATTTTTTATTTTTTGAATTTACTTGGTATAATGAAAATAGTTATTTGTGTAACAAGTGCCGTAAGATGAAAATTCGCGGGTGCGGAGTTTACTCACGAGCCGAAGGCGAGTGCGGTAACCGCACCCGGAAATTTTCATCTTTACGCACGGCTTACACACCCTATTTTATGTTGCAAGTGCCTGGAAAGTGGTCTATCACGCACGCGTAGCGTGCGTAATGGGGCACTTTCCATGCACGTGTTGCATAAACATTTTTTCCACATCACCACGGGGGTAGAGTTTATGGCGCGTTTATTTAAAAAATTAAAAAAAAATAATAAAATTTTACCCCCCACTTTCGAGTCTAAGACCCAAAATATCGATCCTAGGTGAAAAATGATAAGGACCAAAATTGTAGAGTATTAAATTTTCTACAAGTTTGCTTATTACCAATTTCACTCTAAAGTTGAAAATAAGCGAGATATTTACAAAATCAACCTTCTAATCAAAATGGCGGCTAACGCTCCGGGGTTAGAATCCCAAAAATCCGGTTTTAAACTACCCATGACCCTCAAAAACAGTCAAAGAAAAAAAATCGCTTCCCGGAATTAATTCTATTTCAGCGGTTTTTTTGGGCTCTATTGACTGGGCTATTTCTTAAACTATAAAAGATACGTGTGTATGACCGCGAGACGAGATCCGCTAGATAGAGCGGCATTTGTTCCTTAGTTCATTGCCGCCCCTCGCGGAACGTGCACGTGTGCAGGAGAAGAAGTTACTTTTTTCCTTCCTGAAGTAAGTTTTCTTACGTGCATAAAATCTGAAATATTTTTTTTTCTTTATGCCGAAGGTATAAGGTTTTATTTTTATATGTTTAAGTGATTATTTATGTTGATGATTTGCATAATACGATTGACTTTCATCCAGATATTTATGTAAAAAATTTACTTCGAATCATAAAATATCATTAGGGGACAATTGTAACATCAATGCCTGGGAACAGTTGTAGCGTTACAATTGTCTCCGTTGCTCGGGGACAACTTCAACTTAACCTAACCCTTTAAATATATATGATTATAAATAATCTTTCAGTTGAGAAAACAGTATTATTTGTTTTTGTTTGCTATAATGTAAAAATACTGATATTGTCATGTAACAAATTATTTTATCGTTAAAGTTGCATTTTTTATAGAAAATTCGTAAAATTGATTACATAAACCTACTAAATAACCATTATTTTGTTTATAGATGATGTGGTACAATCGTTCCCCTCTGCTGTTACAATTGTCCCGGGGGTTGAAACGGTTGTAACAGTATTCCTCATATTCTTTAAACAATAATAACTTTTTTCCTAGTTACATTACTGAATTCAGCACAAGAAAATTTTGTAGTCAAATAAATTCTACATCTAAAAAGATACAGGTCTTTTTTACGTAGATATTATATTTTAACTGTTATAAAATTTTAAACTCAAAATGTTACTTTTGTCCCCGGTCTACCCTAGGGTGTGTAACACGTGCGGGTTGAGAATTGGACACGCGTGCGGGTGATCGTACTCGCCTTCGGCTCGTGCGTCCACTCCGCACCGCGCACCCGTGTGTCCAACTTCCCGTTCTCAACTTCCCGCACTTGTTATACAAATAACTATCTCACTATTACTTAATAATAATTTAATACTAATATGTATTGTTCATTAAATTAATATGTACTTATTAATAACATTTGCTTTTATGTGATACATATATATGTATATATAAAATTCACGCGTAAGCATATACATATATGTGTATATTGCAAGATTAAAGGCTCAGTCACAATGAGAAAAATAAGGAATAATTTAAGATAAAGGAATAAGGAATAAAGGAATGTCGCATCTCACTTCAGTACACGTACATTAAAGTGAGATGCAACATGCCTTATTCCTTATTCCTTTATCTTATTTCTTATTTTTCTCATTGTGACTGAGCCCTAACAATAAGATGATAACAAATTGAAATCAACCGTAATGAATGTTTTATCCAACGAAGTATACCTCGAGTGGTTTCAGGGAATAGTTTGTTTCATTAATTAATAAACAAATTAAATATTGCAGGTACTATTTTATAATCGGGAGAATTTTCGTATATTGCAAAATCTATTTGATCAGTACGAACAATTGCTGTCATGTTGATTTAATATACGAGTATGTAATAATATCCTATCAGTGATTACCGTTGCCGCCGAATCTTTATTGGTTAAGATATATTAAAAATATTAATAGTACATTGTTTATGCCTTTATCCCAATAAACAATATGCGATTCAAAGATTTTAAAATAAAATATGTTTTAAAACGTTATTGAATAAAATAAAACCACAATAAAAACGTTTCCTAAATCAGCATACGAATTTTAGAGAATTCTTAAAAAATGACGTTACGTTAACATTATATGTGCCTTTTAACATAGTCCATGATCTCTCGAACAACATTAAACGATAAAAAGTCTCAGAATATTGTTGCATAATGCTAGCCCACGATTAATACATTCTTATATGTATCTCTGCAACCACCACAGAATGTGATTGCAATATCATTAAATAATACATCTCACATTAAGGAGGAAGCTGTGACAGCGTAAACGACGCTGCTTTGAAAGCAGGCCTCTCGCTACTTAAAATAAAAATCAGTTCGCAAAAACAACGAAATATTTATGAATTTTACGGATAGACGTTGCCGTGCATACACACACATACACACACACACACGCGCGCGCGCGCGCGCCGGCATTCCCGGACTCGGCGTCCTCGGCGATCTAGGTCAAGGCCGATTTAGAAAGTAGGTCAATGTACAGCTGCTCGTGACAACCGCCTGCCGCTCAAGTAGGTCAAGGCCATATGTGTCGCTGGGTTGGTGCGAGAAAAAAAATCTTCCTTATCGTTTATCGCAAATATCTGGGCAACCACCCAAGATATAGAGATGATTCAAAAAAGACTGTTTAGTTCATACTCTGCGCTATTAGAATATCACGATTTTCTTACTAACAATTACGTCCTTCCGTTTATTTAACATGATAAAGCGCGCGCGTGCCGTAAAAATCGGGCGCCAATGATTTCTGACTTTCATAAAACGCTTATATCTCGGCAACCGTAAATGATAGAAAAATGATTAAAGAAAGACTTTGTACTTTATACTTTGCCCTATTGGAATTACTCAATTATATTACTCGCAATTATGTACTTTATTCATTTATTAAAGCAATAAAGCGCGCGCGTGCCGTAAAGATCGGGCGCCAAATGATTTCTGACTTTCATAAAACGCTTATATCTCGGCAACCGTAAATGATAGAAAGATGATTAAAAAAAGACTTTGTACTTTATACTTTGCCCTATTGGAATTACTCAATTATATTACTCGCAATTATGTACTTTCGTTTATTAAAGCAATAAAGCGCGAGCTGGTCAAAAGAATCGTGCGCCTCGCCATTCATCATGTTCATTAAACGCTTATTATATCTCGGCAACCGCAAATGATATAGAAAGATGATTTAACTGTCACCCGTTAGTTTGAAATCTGCCAAGGTGGAAGCACATAAAATTGCAGGAGCCTTGAGCAGAATGCAGAAGCCATATGCGCATGCGCTATGGTATTTGTAGAGCTCTACAGATACCACAGCGCATGCGCATATGGCTTCTGCATTCTGGTCATGGCTCCTGCAATTTTATGTGCTTCCACCTTTACAGTTTCAATTACTAAGACGAGAAAGTGCGCAAGATTTTAACGAAACGTGCGCCGAGCGACTTTTTATTTTCATTAAACACTTATCGTATATGTACATTTCGGCAATCATAAATGCTATATAGAAAAATGATAGAAAAACACAACCAAATGGTTTTAGCCTTTTTTCTCGTTTATAATGTTTTTTTAAAGCTGATTTCATGGATTTTTGCTAAGTATTTTTGTTGCGCGCCGACTCCTAATAATATATAGTATGTAGTATTTCTTATGTTTCTTATATTTCAAGATTACCTATAACTTTTCGGGACATAGCGTCTTAACGAATCCATAATATACTTTTCGCTATTATACATATATATATGTAACAATAATTAAATATTAATATGTATTGTTTGTCAAATTAGTAATGTTTTTGTTAATTACTTTTTTTGTATACACATGTATGTATGAAAAACTGAAACTGCGAATGCGGTGCTCGTGCTCGGCGGAAAGGTTATATATAAGAAGCTCCGAAATGCGACGAATGACACTGCAATGGACATATGACATATCTCGAGAAATACATTTATTTTAACATTACAAGATATCAAGTTACTTCCTTAGCATGAAATGTTGATACAAATATTGTATTGATTTTTTGTTTACAATGATAAATTATGTTGTCATAATGACTATGATTACTTTATTTATTTCCGTCTTGGGAATATTACTTTTCAAGCATGCTGTATACATATCTCATTTTTAACGCCAAGATTATCACATTATGTATGATAACGTTCTCTTTGTAATTTATTGAGAAATTGTGAGAGAATAATAAGTATAGTGGACTCTCAAAATAATTTACGCGAGAGGATAAAAACGCGCGTGCAAACAAATATAAAAAATTGTGCATGTACACGCACACGCGCGCACGCGATCATTTGTATTATGCAAATAATCAATTGTAAATATCAAGACATAAGAAATTATTTAAGCATATTACCACAGTATACTAACACATTTATTTGCAAATAAGTTGTCTAGTACAATATGCAATTTGTCAATCCTCCGTGTCGCCAAAGTGATCCTGTTGCAGTTGCCTCTTTACCTCCTCTATGACGTCGGTGCTATTGGCTGTACAACAAAATGATTGTAACAAAATTGCCAAATGATTACGTAATTATTTAACGCAAGTATCACAACACATTTACCGCAAAATGGACTAATACTGGCTGTAGGCACGAAAAAGCTTCCACGCTGATTGTATTTTTCTGCTCTAATGCCCATTTCCGTGCAGATGTTTCTACTGCATGGTTCCGCGATTATTTGTAAAAGATGCCTATATGTCAAATTCCATTGATGTGCCCAGAAACTGCAATTGTGCGCGGTATCGGATATCAAAGATTCAGTGAGATAGACGTAAGAACGTCCGTGGCTACATATCGCTCGTTTTATCTCTACAAATGCAATAATAACATTTTTTTACTCTCGTTCTTTAGTCCAGCTAATAATCGTGTTAGTAGCACTAACCAGTTACAGGAATCGGCAAATAATTAAAGTACGATGATTCCGATTTTGCACAGCCAGGTTGTATTTTACCGCCATTTGGATAGAAATCAATGTGACCTATACATTAGAATAACGATTAAAAAATTAAATAAACGAGTTTTTCGTTGGGAACTTACGATCCCAAATTATACATCGTCCAACAAGTACATCGAAGAAGAAAAAGGAGAAGGATAAAGTGCGCGACAAGCTATTGATGGATTAAGCTTCAATCAACGAGCTACCTATAGCTTCGGGTAAGCCAAGACCTAGACTCGTGAGTAATCTGCCGTTTGTATGTATCACGTCAACGAACGGTGCGTCACTTTTATGTAAGTGAACAGACGTGTCAGTATTGCGAAAACACGGCTGCGCTGGATCCAAACCGGTGATTCTCTGCACAGTCCATCTGTTCTGCCTTTTGTTTAGCTCTCTTGCGGCGAATCCGCAAATGTGAGCGCCGAGACTATGTCCTACCAGATGCAAAGGGCCCCAATTATTCACACCTGGCCCGTTATTGTTGATCGTAGCGTTTGTTACGTGTTCTACAAATCTAGGGTGAATACGAGCAGTACATTAGAAAGCTAGTACTAGTACTGATTACTAACAATACAGGTGCTATTCCGAACGCAGCCTTAGTTAACTAAAATGCTATAGTGTACGTGACGTAAACTATAGATTTTAGTTACCCAGAGTGAATATCGGAACGCAGCCACAGTCGTTTGAAAGTGTCTCTTGGAGCTTCTTTCGAGCTTGTTGTATTACCTAGTTACAAATTACTATGTATACCGCAATGCAATTTTAGCTTACGCACTTTGATACTTGATATCCCACTATTCTGGTGTTAACCGCTGCCTTATAATAATTCCACGTATTACCGCCAGCGCTCCAATCTATTATCACCACGTTAATGTCATCCTGTACACATATACACACAAAATAAGAAATAAGCGACTGTTTAGAAAATAAGATCGCGATCGACGGACTCACCCATTCGAGTAACGCTTTTTCCATATCTCTGATCCATGTCTCCTGGCCGTGAGACAGGAAACCATGCACTATGATCACCGTCCTGCGTTCTATCTTGAAGTCTGTCCATTCTAAACCGAACTGCTCGCCGAGCACCACTTGCACGCGATGCGGCTGCTTCCTAGAGGACAGAAAAAACTGCACGTCCAGGGCGTCACTCCCGTTAGGCTTACTCCTGAAGAACCATTCCAGAGCCACCGCGACTGTCTTTCCCAGCCCGAAACAGTCTACTTGCGACGACTCGCTCGCGTTGCCTACGCGAGTGGACAACGTGTATGTAAAATTCGTCAGGGTAGTCTCATTCAATAGAGGCACAGCTTTTGTAACGAGTGTCGTTTTGTTCGATGCATATTCAAAAAGCTGAGACACGTTCGTCGCATGCGGATTCCACAGGCGAGAACACTCCCCCATGGAACATTGATACAACACGGCAAACGCGAGAACGATAAATATCATCGTTGTGCACCTTAGCCCGTTGACTTGTGATGTGATGGCACGACACGGCATGGTACTTGTGTTACCCTCGATTAATATATATCTGTATATACGAAATACCCAATCGTTACATTTGGCTAGATAAGCCACGACTAATCTACAGAAAGTCTCTAGACAAACAACTTTTTTTCGGTCTTATACGGTCAAAGCAACACTGATTAAGCAAAGAGGACATGCCCTCTGATAATACGAATTATCCGAGAAGCCGACAGTCTTGTTGTTATATACATACAATACTATGATTCGCTCAGAGAAGTGGAATAACGATTTAAATTTTTCAATTTGAATCGTGCCTCATTTTTTACAGGATACTTCTCTTTGTGTGATGTATCAATTGAAACCAATTACACAAGATATTTCTAACACAGACATGAGTATAGACGGACGTAATTATTATATGGATTTTATGGGAATTTATTTTCAAGAAATTGCATAACATTTACATTTATACATACATGTCTTTATACTGATGTACGATCTGTACGTTATTATTAAGGAAAAAACAAGAACGAGTAAATGAGTAATTTTATAGGCAATTTACACTTATGTAGATTGGCAGATTATTTTCAAGTACATATTTTTATATTTTAGAAAATGTGGAAAAATCTTGTCAAGAACTTATTAATATAGTAAAAAATAAAAATCGATATTAAATATTAAATCCTAAATCCAGAAACAATATTTCTACATACAGTATATATTTCTACATACAGTAACTATTGTTGTCAGGATTTTTCTTCTTTCTGAGGATAATTTGATGACGAAAAAACGAAAATCGTATGTTACAATTATATGTTAAGTTTCTGCTTCTTCCAGTTCTGTTGTCTCTCTTTCTTCTTTCGCTGTTGATGAAATTTCCACGTAAAGATATCTTAATAAATATTCATAAAAAGATAAAACGATGTTTACTTACTCGAGGTTGCTGAAACTGTGACTGATTTGCGTTACTTTGCGTACTGCCACCTTGGAAGCTGCTGAAGTCTACTGATTTGTAATCGAATTTTTCGGATGGTAACATACCCTGTTTCTTCAGCAGCTTCTGGTTCGCTTTCCTATCGCCTTTTTTCCTAGCTCTGTCGTCGAATTAAAAACTTTGTTATTAGTATGAATATGTTATACATATTATATAGTATTTTCTTTCCTACGACAAACAGCTTACCTTATCGATTTCGCTGTTTCAGAATTATTGTCACTCTGAACTTGCGCGAGGCTCTCTTGCATCTCCCGTTCTTCGGTCGCTTCCTGTGCTTGTTTTGCTTTCTTGGACACATGCATAGTTCCAGCATCCAAATACGGTGTCGGCACCGTAGAAAAGTCATTGTCGCCCTTCTTTTTCTGATACTCATTTCCAATATTAAATTGTCTCTTCCTTTTTCCGCCATGTATCTGGCTTAGAATTAATTGCTTAGATTTCTTCTTCTTCTTCTTTTTCGGCAGAGTCGCAACTTGTTTATTTGTTTGAGATACCTGTTTAAAGTGTTCATGAACTCTATTTTTACTCTCGTTAATCTCAGCCTCGTCTACATATTCGTCCTCGATTTTTACACTCGGACCCTCTTCTTCTTCTTTTTCTTTTTCCCTCTTTTCTTGTCGTGTCTCACGTTCTTTAGTTTCCTGATCCATTATCATTGGTATGACACATTTGTATCTCATAAACGGGCTTATAAATATAGTCTTCTTTTTATCTTCTCTCTTACTGCCTTTCATTCCATCCTGAAATTCGTCCTGAAATAAGAATATAATTCATTGAACATTTGTGTGCGCGCGCGTGTGTGTATACATCTATACATGTACATTATATTCGAAGCATTTTCTCTCCATTTATTATCTTATAGTTATTTTCACACTATTACTTCACCTCTGATGTAACTGGTGTATCGAATATCGTTACAGTAGGCTTTACCATCCGACACATGCTTGCCTCTGGCAATGATCCTGACACGGCCGTCTTATCCAAAAGACATGGCAAGTCCGCTCTCGCTTCTGTGCCGCTCGGAACATCGTGCGGTACATATAGGGAAGCCCCGGTGTCCGTCGCGTGATTCTGTTGCGTCGGTCTCTGCCGAATATCCTGCTCAAGAATAGATTGTACAAGCGGCTGCTCCCTAGCCTTCAGCACTATCTTGTGCATTTTCAATAAGTTTTGTCGCACTAATGGCGGGATTGGATTACAACATGCCAGAATACCCTGCATCTCGCGTGGCAGGGTCTCAGCTATGTTGAGCAGCATGTGGTTCGGTAACACGTAGCCGATACTGTCGTCCTCCTCCCTCGCGGTGAGATCTCGCCATCTGTGCAATTCGATGAGCGCATACATCTGCTTATTGTTGAAAGACTTCTGACTCTTCCTGTATAGGTTGATACAACTTTCCTCCGTCCAAATTGGTTTCGCGTATGTGCGCTTACAAATCTCGGTGCTTTGATCGTACACAGCCTTCAAGATATTCTTCTTGCCGTTAGCCACGTCGATCAACTCGTTCTTCAGCATGTCCTTTATGTAAAGTAGATAGTGCGTATCTTCTCTCGCGTATTTCATCAGTTCTAACGGTAGAGGCCTTATACGCCAGTCGGCCAATTGAAACTGTTTATTGGGATCTATACCGCAATATTTGTTTAACAGATAAGCTAGATTGAGATAGGGTAGGTTGAGCTGTTTCGCGGCTTGATGGGTGTCAAACATGTTGACTACGTAGAGCGACAAGTCCCTTTGAAGCCAGAAAATGTCCATGTCGGCGCCGTGAAAGACCTTGAGGATCGAAGGTTTCGTAAAGATTTCGTTGAGTTGATGTAACTCTGATCGCAGGGTCAAAGTATCAATTAAATAATCGGTTGTTGTCGTTGATATCTGCATTAGGCAAGTTATGCCTTGAAACGTTCTGTAAGAGTGATGCTCCAAATCGACAGCTATCTCCTTATGCGTTCGCAGATCTTCCAAGAGAATTTTGATATCGGCTGGCTTGTCGATAAATATGACGTCGGTATCGTCCAACGACTTGTACTTGACGGGTATCGTCTTGGTCAATTGACATTCCGGCGTTTCAAACTTATCCAGCTCAAACTCGTAAGGGTGATTGAAGACCTCGCCGTGTTCGCCTTCCTCGACATAGAGAGCCAACGGCTTCAGGGAGTTTGGTTTCTCCTTGATTCGAGGCATCCATGGCTTCGGACTATTGTCAATTTTATCTTTGAACATCAATTGTGGTCTTTGTACATTTTTACCACCCAACAAGCGTACTTTCTCCGAACTAGCCGAGACTTGGTCGAGATGATTAGTCCTTATATTCCAAGTGCCATTCACAACTGGTTTTGGAATTTGCGACACGACTAACTCCACCTGAGGATTTCGTAAAATTCCACTTTCCTCGTCCATCAATATATTCTGTAGCAGAGAGCAGGAAGAAACGATTAAGAAACTAAATTTATATGACAAGATTCAAACTGATGCTGGAGTAATTATAAGACGCTCACAGCTTGATCTAACAGCTGATCGTTGGTTTCCAGTAAAAGATCAAACTTTTCGTCCATGTCTCGAGTTTGGATGTTGGTAGAGCCACCAGCTATTTTTATTACACTCTGCATCGTAGCCAGAATTCTCTCTGTGTCTTTACGTTTGGCGTCATTGAAGCTTGGAAAGCAAGCGTAGTAGTTGAAATTGTCTCCGACAGGCAGATTATTAGCTGCTTTGATTCCGGCTCTCATAGCGTCGAATGCATCCTGAAATACATAGCATTTTGAGATTGTATATAATTTCTCATTTTACTTGCCAAGATATTTATGTAAAGGACATAATCCTGGCGAGAGGGAGTAGAGGGGAAGAAAGGGGGTCACGGGTCTCGAGCGAGGAACCATACAACCATACCTGAAGGTAATCGTCGAAGGTTGGATATCCAGGAATAAGGCGGGTCGGTAGCCCATCCTTTTCCTCGGCTTCGATATCATCATTTCCCGAGACACCCGCCTCACTGTCCCAATTTTCGGCAAATTCCATGTTTGCCGCACGCACCCTCGCTTGTTTCTCAAAGCTGTCCTCTTCTTAATTCTTTCGTAGCGACTGTGTAGCGAGCGACTAGCGAGTATAAGCGACCAAGAGAGGCTCATCCACTCTGTACACGCTCCACGATCTTCATTTTCAACAGTTTTCGATTTTCGAATGTTGGAGCTGTTAGAGGTTATCCTCAGTCTCACGTTCACGCGGTTCACGTCGCAACAGTGGTGCATGCCTGCATGGCGCGGACCGCCTGTTTCTTTTGCACTGGCTGAACTAGGCTGAACTGGAGCAACAAGTTACACACTTTTTCGTAACAGTAAGAGTAAAGTTTCGACCAATCGCGTTGCTCGATTCGTGAACGTACGGCCGTACGTTCCCGATTCAAGCAACGCGATTGGTCAAAACTTTACTGTTAAGCGGGCAGCACACACTTCTGCATAACGCATACGGCGTAAGCATAAGAAAATTGATTGGTCCATACACATGTGCATAAGAAAATAGACCAATCAATTTTCTTATGCTTACGGATTATGCATTGTGCAGAAGTGTGTGCTCCCCGCTTTATATCTGGCAACATCGAGGAGAGAAGTAAGAAGTAAGGTTATATGTTCCTTACAAATTCTAACCTCTATCAAGTAACCGGCACATAGCGAACCAACAGATAAAAGATAAAAGAAAAGTGTCAAAAAATTGGAGCCCCCAGTTGGAGGCACGGCGATAGGAACGTATGTACATACATACGTAAGAAAACCGGTGACACATAGCACTGATAGCACCCTGGACACGTGTTGTATCTACGTGTTGATCATCTACAATGTTGTCCGTAAATAATATTAAATTGATTACTTTCGCAAAGCATTCTGCGTGGAAAATGTACGGAGGTAATACGTATCGTCATTTGAGAGCCTGTCGCGATAGGTGCAAGCTGGTGAAGCTGGTTCAGACTTTCAATTATTCAACCAAGTGCGACAGGAAGAAGGATTTTGTTAAACCGTCCCTCGATCCCAGAGTCGAGGCACTGCGAGACAAATTAATATACTGCGACTATTTGGATTGTCGGAAAGTGAAAATTAATTACATGAAGCGCTTCTTGTCAAAAAAGAGGATCGAGTACGCTGAGAAAAAAGCACAAAGCGACAGGCTGACAAACGTACCCATCTACAGCGTACTCCTGGACACGAGAAATGACGAAAGCCACGAAAGCCACTTTCGTCAGGAGCAGGAAGATATAAATACAGAAGAGGATATAGCGAAACCTGTACATATGCCGTATGCGAGCACAGATCCGTACAGTAATGTGCTGACGGACACATCTTTGAGCGAGTCAAATAAAGGTAATCTTGATGAAAAGACGATATCGTTGAACGACAAGTATAAAGATCTATATGAAAGATATTTAGCGGAAAAGGATGGAGTTTTAGGAAAAGAAGAGCTCACTTTGCTCGATTATTTAGAAGAAACAGATAGAGATGCGTCATACAAGAGAGATCTTCCGTCGAGTGTTCCGTCCAATTGGATGGTAGACGTCGAGCAATACGATGATGCTTCGTATCAGGACAGTACCTGGCTCAACAATTACGGAACTCCGGATCCAAACTCCAGTCTCAGTACCGTTCCATGCGGTGGATGTGGCGCCTTGCTGCACTGTAAGGATCAAGCTCTACCGGGTTACTTGCCCTCGGAATTGTTTCGGAAGAGGAGCAAGAAGGAATTGCGAGTTATGATCTGTCAAAGATGCCACTTTATGCAGTATTACAACACCACGTTGGAGGTGAAGGTATCTGCGGACGAATACCCGGCACTTTTAAAAGTTATAAGAAAGAAGATATGCGCCGTCATTCTGATGGTCGACCTTACTGATTTTCCATGTAGCATATGGCCCGAAATAAATAGCGTGCTGAATCCTTTGACCCCGGTGTTCGTCGTGGGGAATAAAATAGATTTGCTGCCCCCGGATTCGAAACATTTCTTTACTCACGTTAAAGATTGCCTCTCAAAGACAGTAATAGACAGTACAGGAATCAAGAAGGAAAATATCAGACACGTAGCACTCACATCTGCAAAAACTGGCTACGGCATAGAAGAACTTATAAATAAATTGCATAATATCTGGAAATACAAAGGTAAGAGGATACAAAATTTATCGACTATCGTCTAGGTCACGTCTAGACTCTAGGACTAGGGAGACAATATGCTCCATATTTGTTATATTTAATTAATATAATTGTAATTTAGGAGATGTTTATGTAATTGGTTGCACAAACGTCGGAAAGTCTTCTCTGTTCAACGCTCTTCTACAGTCTGATTACTGCAAGGTACAGGCTGTGGATCTTATACAACGTGCAACCATTTCTCCTTGGCCGGGCACAACGTTAAACTTGCTGAAATTTCCTATTTTAAATCCTCTCAAGTGGCGACTTTACTTGAGGACGTTGCGATTACAAAAGGAACAGCGGTACAAGTGTGCTGAAGAGAAATTCCGAATTAATCAGTTCAAAGCGACGCGTAACTTGGAATATGCCACATTGCAAAGTACGTATCGTATGCGCTAAATGCAAAATTCCTGTCATACGCAGCTGCGTATAATCGATTGAAAATTTTTGCATTATTGTTGGTGGATAAAAGTACATCTTACACATCTTCTAAATTTAGGTCACATTGGTAGGACATTTCAATCAAAGTCCGGGCCTGAAGTAGGAAAAGACGATCCGTTCGTGGAAGGGAGATATAAGAAGCATACGCAACAATTCGGTTTTGATGAGACTAAGGAGGAGTACAAATACAGTCGCTGGTGTTACGATACTCCCGGTACCATTCAACCGGATCAGGTGTTAGATTTGCTGACGATGCAGGAACTTTTGTCGGTTTTACCGAAGAAGATAATTTCGCCTAGAACTTTCATTCTACATGTAAATCAAACGATATTTTTGGGCGGAATAGGCCGATTGGATTATGTAGAGGGCGATAGTTTTATTAGGTAAACTAGGTTTTATTAGGTGCAAACTTATGATTGCCGATAGTAATATAAATATAATAAATAATAATAAATTAAAGGTATCCAAGTATATATTAAAAAAGAAAATGGTTGCATGTGTCGTTGTAGGTGTACAATATTTTCGAGTAGCGAATTGCCGGTAACTTTAACTCGTACTGAGGATGCGGACAGTATATACAACGAGTTACTCAAAACGGAAGTGTTTGTCGTACCTGAAAACAGTCCGGACCGATTGAAACATTGGCCGGCTTTAGGATCTAAGGAAATGGAAGTTACTGGTATCGGAAATAACGAATCGATCGCCGACGTTATTTTATCCAGTGCGGGTAATTTGACATTACAATAAAACGTTTGCGCCGATCGTTGTCTTCCGATCTCGTAGCCATAGTTTTGTAATTGTTACAGGATGGATCGCGATCGCTGCTGAAGAAGCCGAGCGTGTCTTATTGAGAGCTTGGAGTCCACAAGGTCGCGGCTTACATCTAAGAACTCCGGCGCTTTTGAGAAAATCTGTCGCTCTACGTGGCAATCGAATTTCAGATGCGCCGACATACAAAAGCGGACGCCAAGCGTACAGAAAATAAATATCTTTTTATACGCAGTTATACGCAGTTACTGTACGCATATATTGTACATAATACATCCAAACCCACTCTTGCACTACACATAGATATACATTTGCATGACAACAATTGAACAACAAGTTCTAGTAATATTTGTAGATATAACTTACACATCTCAATTAATACTTTATATAGTTAATCACAATTAAAATCTTCCGGTTCTTTCACTAAATAAAATTGCTTTGTTCGATATATTTAATATATATCACGGATATTAATCTATCTCAGAATTTTATAACATAAAGATATAAAAATCGCGTTAGAAAGATCTGAATGGCAATAATATTTTTCACATCAAACATCGACCTCCTGCGCACGCATTTTCGCCTGCTTATACATTCTTTTATAAAATTTTTCTAGATTCTTATAAAATCCGCGGCCCGGAGAGTAATCCCGATCGCACTCCACAACACTGAAATAACATTTTCAAATACATTTACACGTTGTATTGTTACAGATGAAGATAATTTCATTTTTCAACGCTACTTACTCGTCCTTCACTCCAGTGGCATACCATTTTTCTTTAGTTTTCTGAAGATTTTCAATTTTAGTTTGCAATCTGTAAAAACACAGCGATCGTAATGTGACAAACGTTCAAGAAATTGATCTGTTTTCAATCAACTCACAATGGCATTGCCGCTTCTTCTTTCGTGTCGAATACGTCGTTTCTACAAATACAACCACGTTCTCTAATCTCAGACATATTTCTGCAATATCTTTGCTTAGTGTCAACATATTTCTTGATTATATCAGAATCGTCGTGGCATTTGGGGAAATAACAATTATACTTGAAACAAACTGGACAATTGTCTGTAACGTGGGTATTGTCACGTATGGCGGTGGGTTCGGTTAACTTTGGGAAATCTGGTCGACAAGTGCATATGGAATTTCTCCTTATCGAATGATAACATTGATCAATTTGCGATCCTGTCTGATGACTCGTGGCATACGAAGGACATTGGTGAGAATCGCTCGGTCTCTGACGGTACCTATTTAGTATTTACAGTAATTACACGTAACATACACAATGTTTATATTTTACACATTAATAACATGTGACAATAATGACAATAAGATCTACTCACGGTCGACAGCTTTGAGATCTCGGTTTACTCTTAGTATGACACACTCTCCGTTGCCTTATAATACCTTTAATCGGCCTTTTCCTCTGTCCACATGCCGTTTGCTGAAATTTACATATAAAGGACCGATATTAGAAATTCGCGATTCTCAAGCGAATACAATAAAAGAAAAAAAATTTCAACGACACCAATCTGATGTATCTATGAAAATACCTTAGAGTTAATCATTTTTGGATTGATGACATAACATTTGCTCACACTTGTGTCGTAGAAGCCCAAGATTTCCTCGACAATCGTTTTGGTGGAGACCTCAATTTTGGGCGCTATGATACCCTGAGGCAAAAACGACAGTTTTGCCCTAGTGAAAAGTGTTTTTATCCCAGATTAAAGAATTGGAGCAAGAAGAAGAACAAAAGACATACGGGAAAGCATTTAGTCGGCTCCATCAATAGGTCTATATCCACACCGGCTAGTAAACCTTTGAAGCATGGCGCGGGATACAACAAATCTGTCAAATTTGTCTCAAACGTTGCCAGAGTAATGCCTCGGCTAGCCGGCGTTGCCCACTGTATCAATTCCACGTATAAAAATTCTTGCTCCAAGGCGCTTTGCAGCTCCGTCAGGGAAATTCGTCGAGTAAAGATTTTACTGAAGGTAAATTTGTCGTGGAACAAGAGCGGGAAAATCGGACTTATCCTGTCGGATTCTGCACAGGAATCGAGGATGTTGATTTGCAGAGCCACTTTGCCATTGGGGCACAGCCAAACGCCGGGGCACGTTACCTAAAACCGCCGTGTGCCGTGTGCCGCGCGTGAGAATAAGAATTGCGAGTTGCAAGACAACTGCAGACCACAGCATGATAATATCGCACGATACGTACCGCATGTACATCTAGCTGTACTTTAACGCGAAAAGCTCTACCTGCCATCCCGCCCAACTGTCCAATTTAGTTTAGACAGTTTCATTAATCGTATGATATTGTCATTGACATTGACATCGACAGCATTGTGGACAGCCGGGATGGGCGGGATGACGTGTACGTCTCTGTACCATGGATCTCACTATCGCTTCGACAGCTTCATGATGGACGATAGCAAAACGCGAATTTTCTCGACTTGTACACGTTCAAGTTGAATATCCGTGTCCAGATCTTACTTTCTGCTGGACTTAATTCGATAAGAGAACGTACACGTACACGTATGTACACTTAACTTTAAAAACCCATGCCATTTTGCGAGAGAGTTGTTGCCAGGAAACAGTGAGACACAACATATCACCGCGCTCGCGGCTCGAATCAATGTATCGAATTTTGTCGAGTTCTGACTTCTGGCTTATTCTGGCCGACCTTAGCGATTAGGTTTCGCTAAAAGATCTCATCCCTCATTAACGTTTATATATATATATAATATATATATATATATATATATATATATTATATTTATGTCACACGTGCATGGAAAATGGCCCATTACGCACGCGACGCGTGCGTGATAGACCACTTTCCACGCACTTGCAACATAAAATAGGGTATGCAACTCGTGCTGGAAGTTGAAAATTCCCGGGTGCGGTGACCGCACTCGCCTTCGGCTCGTGCGTCCACTCCGCACCCGTGAATTTTCATCTTCCAGCACTTGTTGCACAAAAAACTATTAGAAGAATAATTTGTTGCATCTTTAATTATAAGCGACATTTTATTCCATAATTTGTTCAAGACTATATAATGTCTATAAATCTATAATCAAATAATTGTCATGTTTTAAATGGCACGCCAGCGAATCTTTTTTCCGGCAGACCTCTCTGCAGTTTTCGACGTACGAGTTCACTCGCGATAAAGTCCGATTGTTTCCTGGAGAAGCGTAATCGTGGATCCTTGGTGACAGGTACTAGCGGTACGGTGAACCAGCCGTATCTATAATGTATATAAATGAAAACGGTTCGTTAATTATTAAAATTAATAGTAGTTATTCTCAGTTTTCATTTACTCGTTTGTCGACTCACTCCATGTTCACCGCCGGCGGCCTAAACGAATAAATGTCTTTGGGTATCATCTCCGTCTGTCGTTTAATCAAGTTGATGTCGTCATCTCTAACGTCAGACGGGGAGAAAACATCATGTTTCGCATAGAACTTGCCAGTTAACGATTTTGTACGGGTAGTAGGCACAAATGTTTCTCGTACATTTATCAATTTGTTCTCCTTTCCATACCTTTCTACATAGAAGCGCAGTTTTATAGGATTTATCAGCAAATTGGCCGCCATAAATTTATTCAAAATTATCTCAAAATTATTAAGCTCTCTGGAGCTGTTTTTGCAAATAACGCGCGAAAAAAACGTAAAATGTAAAATGTAAAACGTTATTATTTCGTTGCAGGTAAAATAACGTCTTCTAACGAGAAGGATTCTCAAGAAGACGGCTAGACGACCGCGGCACGGGCGATGTGGCCCGCGCAAGTTGGTCGATTGGCCGCGAGCCGCGAGCCACACCGATCGAGAGGTCTCGAATCGCGAATCTCGATTCTCGATTCTCGATTCTCGAATCGGGTCCGCGGCGCGAGCCGCGAGCGGCGCGCGCGGCGCGGTGTGTGAGTGCGCTACGTGCGCTGTGTGTTTGTTTCATTCTCGTTGCGTGCGAAGCCGTCGAAAGCATGACGCAAGAAAGCCAGTAAGTATCCTAGGATCGACATTAATTGACGCGGCGGTTTGTGTCGCTTGACCCGCGAACGAGCTCCGCGACCGCGTGTCCGCGGTACAGCCGCGGTCAACTGTCGCGAACGTACGAATGCCGCCCCGTTCTTCTCCGATCATCGCCATGTTGCTGGGACGGTTTTATTGATTCTCGAAGTTTCCAGACGAGCGACGACCTAACCGCGGCGGTCATGTTTTTCTCGAGCGAAAATTCCTAACGCAATTATTCCCTCGCGTCGCTCTCCGTCGTTTTCTATTTGCCTTCTCTCTCTTTGTCTCTCTCTTTCTCTCTGCCTCCTTCGCCTTTCTACTCTAATCGAACGGTCACGATGGCGCGTTCCGGAGGAGGACGGTGACGACCGATGACCGATGACCGATGACTTTCGTTTCTCAGGGGTGCTTGTCGCGTTTTCATTTCGTAACCATCCATGCGATTAACTACGCTCTTGACATCTCGATGCGTCGCGCACACGTAATGACTCGAGGGCGTGCTTTTGTCTCGAGCTTTTGTCCCTAACCTATGAGGATACAACAGGTCTTCTATATATGTATATACGTATATGCCTCAATAGGACGCACCGTACACGTGGTGATCGGCCGATTTACTCACGCGATTTTCTACGATGCGTATAATGAGCGGAGTAGGGTATAGATTTGGATGTAACGTCGAAAATTTTGTGAGACAATTTTGTGCGTAATTAATAGTCAAAATAATCGTCAAAAATTGAGAGTAGAAATCGAAAGAGAGAGCGGGAGGGGGGGGGGGTACAAAAAGAAAAGACTCGATTTCGACCAGATCGGACAACTACTTTCAAATTTCAATTACTCGAATCCGTTTTTTGATAACTTTTTTCCCTCACCTTTCTTTTTTAAGCTAAACAAGATTTGCTGAAGCATGTCTGAGAATTTATAGTTTTTTTCCTACCTTGTAATTATAATAATTGAATCGAATATATCAAGTATTGCAAGTTTTACTCTTATTCTATACATTTAATATTTATCTCCGTTTCTTTTACAACTTTTACAGGATACCTCCCCCACCGGTCATGTGGGCTCAAAGAAAAGATATCTTATATGTTACTATCTGCTTAGAAGACTGTAAAGATCCTATTATCGAAATTGAACCAGAAAAGATACACTTCAAAGGAGAGGGAGGAACAGATAAAAAAATGCATGAGATTACGATTAATCTGTACAAAGAAATTGAGCCCAGCAAATCTGTAAAAAATTTGAAAGGCAGGACTTTTGAATTGATTCTCGCTAAGAAGGAAGAGGGACCATATTGGCCACGGTTAATTAAAGACAAAACAAAGGCTCACTGGTTAAAGAGTGACTTTAACAAATGGAAGGATGAGGACGATACCGACGATGAAAGTAGCCCTCCAGATTTAGAAGAGGTAAGAATGCACGTTGCATATTTATATATACACATATTTATAGCCCAACCCAAAAAGTAATAGAGGTGTGTGTCGATTGATAAATAACAATACTTTCTCCCCGATTTCGTAGATGATGCGACAGATGGGTGGTCTGAGCGGTTCCGGTGACACTAAGCCAAATTTCGAAGACTTGGATGAATTAGGGGACAACGATGCCGATAGCGACGATGAAGATCTTCCCGATTTATACGATTAAAGCGATAAAAATAAAATAATCACACACACACATCGATCAAGTAATTAATTACATTAAAGACAAATGGCAACCTAAGGATAGTGCACTATCGGGCAATATTTCAGTAGGCCTTGCTGTTTGTATCTTCAATTGCAAATTTGTTAAAATGGCCGTGTTGCAAATAGCAAACGGGACGCGCAAACTGAACTGAAAAAGGAAAAGGAAAGAAAAGAAAAAGAAACTGTAAAGATACAGTGCGGCAACAGTCGACGAACAGTAATACAGCTCTCGAAGAACCTCCACAGGTCTCTCCCGCCTCCCCTATTAGCCTGTAGTTGATATACTAAGTTATAATGGACAAGCTTTTTTAATAATGTACTTGTGTAAAATAACGCAAGAAGATAAAAAGGGAAAAGAAATGAAAATAACCAAAATTATCTATAGAATTGTTCATTTTGGAAAATCCTGCATAGCGCTATTGGCAGACGTGATCAAATGTTATAAATGTTGTCTGAGATAAAAATATCGATACTTTATTTACTCTGTCTTTCTCTCTCTCTCTCTCTCTTTCTATCTATTCTCTCTCGATCGAATCGTTCCGTTTCGTCTCCATTCCTATCGAAATACCTCCATTCTTTGTGAATTAAAACTCGAGGGTGTTCGAAGCAACATTGCGAAATGTATAAACGTTTACATATTTAAAATACAAGTTGCCAATTTGAGTTAATCCTGGATATCGCGGATATTGCCAGACTATGCGTGGGCCACGATGTACGACGTGACTGTTGGTCGACATCGAGTGTCGGTTCGTTTAACCAACGATACTAGACGCTCCGCGTAAAGCCAGATATCCGGCTGTTATGTCCATCGGTAAACTGCGAACCGTTGCGAATTCTTCGGCAGTGGCATAATATAATTTAGTTTGTGGATCCGTGTATCGTGCCTATAAACAAAATGCAAATTATTTAAATGGTTGGTAAAGGTTGGTTTATTGGTAAATATCACGGAGATAATTTTTATACTCACCGGTAATCCGGAAATATCCGAGTATTTCTTTGCTGGTTTGAAGCTCGGCGGTGCATTGATGGAACTGTCTGAAATTTATGCGAATTTATGTTACAATACGATAGGATAGTGTTTCTCTCTCTCTCTCTCTCTCTGAATATTTAATACATGTCGCAAAACTATATTTCGCTTTTAGTTACGTGCAGATTATTTCAAGGTGTTTCGTTACAGTTCAAATTTTTCCCGACTAATGTATAAATGCAATGACGAAAGGAAATAAAATTTCTGGCACACTCGACGCATACAGTGTTTTACTGTCACTGGCCATGGTAAGGAACGCTCCTGAGCCAAAACTTGTTTCAACGACCGCCAAGTGCGTTTCTTCCCAGTGGTGCTGGTCTGCCGAAATTTCTGTTGAAACGAGCGATTCTTAAATACGGGCTGTGGTTTCTTATTGGCCTCGATTATTTCCTCGCTCGCCATTTCTCGTGATCTTCTAAAATAAATAAAACAGACGGATAATAAATGAACGCAAGCGTAGAGATCCAGGAGGAATTTTACAGCCGGAATCAATTCGGAATAATCGGAATGAGAGCTTATCGCGCTGGCAAAAGAATTTATTTTTATATTCGTAAAGAACAACAAAGAGGATACAAGGAACTACGGGGTTATCGCTTTGCCGTATGTAATACCTACTCATAAACACTCGCGTCAACTCATTGTCAACCGAGTCGACCCTACCCTAACTTTCTATCCGAATCCATTTTATTCGAATCCTCGCGCGTCGGATCAGAGAGTTTTCAAGCGAAAAGTTGGTGGCTCTTTAGCATTCGTCGTTAGCAAATTTTAGCAGATTTTGCAATGTTGGCGATAAGAATTGTATCAACGAACGCTATCTACGTGACTCGTAGCGAGCTATTGCTCCGATATTCTATCAGTCATCGTGTATACCGTAAGTAACGGTATAAGCGCGGCGTATATATACATATATATATACCTACCTACCTTATCCTATCAATAAGAAAATCCCAATTTATAAATTATCACCTGTTGAGAGACTAGCGAGCGAGAGGTTAGAGGTCTTAATCTGATTTTAAATTACACACGATATCTTAAAAGAGACACGAACGTGAACGAAATTTTTTGAAAACTTGCGCTGATTTTTTTTTTTTAGTCAAAGAGAGAGATTATAGTAGATGGATAAAATCGCGCGAAGGCGAAGGGAAGCGATGGACCTAGGGTGTTTACGAAGAAGCGCTCGGGGTTAGATTTTGGTATAGCATATGTTACGTGCACTATACCAAAACCTAACCCCGTGCGCCTCTTCATAAGCACCCCTAACCTAACCTAACCATTGAACCAAGCGGAGCAAAGTGGAGGGGAGAATTGAACGCTCAATGAACGCACATCATGTAATACGAGATGCGAGGGGGTCGAGGGGTAAGAGATCGTGAAATCTGGAGCCTCGGTTCTCGGGCGGGGCGAGGCGAGGGGCGAGAGGAGCGTTATTTGTTCACCTTGGCGCCCGCGTGCGAAGGTCGAAAGAGTAGATCGTGGACGCGGAGTAGGTAGGTAGGTAGGTTCGAGTAGAGATCAGAGAATCGAGTTCACGTTCGACGAAAAGATTGCTCCGTTTGTTGCAGGTCGGCTGATCGCACCCCAAGTGTCACGAGACGTGCAAACGAGAAAAATGGGACGCAGATTCTTCGTTGGCGGTAACTGGAAGATGAACGGCACAAAGAGCGAGATTGGTGACATTGTCGCGTTTCTCAAGACCGGGCCACTCGATCCTAATGTCGGTACGTGGATGCAACCGCTGTAGAGACGTAGATGTAGTCATTCTAGTCACTTTACATCGTCCACAATGAATCGCGGGATAGCGTCGAGTCCCGACAGTGTCAAATCCAACACACCTGACATTATATCTGTTATTGTTATTTACTATTTATCCAGAGTTTTTTCTTTCCCCTCCCCTCCCCTCCCCCCACTCAAATTACAATCGCAGAATTATGAACATTTGGATACACGAGAGGAGAAACTTACGGTGAAGACGATAGAATTTTTTTGACAAGGCGAATAGATGGAAGGAAAAGATAATAAATATTAAAAAGTCGAAAAACTGTCGAGTTACGTTGTTACAGAATCTTCAGATATGTTCGCAAATTTAACAGCGACGTTTAAATGCTTACGTAACGTCCCGTCTTGTTTCTCATTCAACGCTCTGACCTATGTACACTGGACCGAACGAATCGTCCGTAAAGGTAAAGAAAGGCAGAAAGAATGATAGTCTTGTAATTTTTAGAGGTTGTAGTTGGCGTTCCATCGATATATCTCACGTACGTGACCTCCATCGTCCCTAGCAACGTTAGCGTTAGTGCGCAGAACGCGTACAAAGTTCCTAAAGGAGCGTTTACCGGTGAAATTAGCCCGGCTATGCTTCTGGACAATGGCGTTCCCTGGGTAATTCTTGGCCACTCCGAGCGTCGAAACGTCTTTGGCGAAACGGACGAGTTAATTGCGGAGAAAGTTGCGCATGCCTTGGAAGCTGGATTGAAGGTATATATACATAGGTATATGTTGTATATAACGTATAAGAATCGATTATTTTATATTTAAAAAGATGACACGCGTGCAAAGTGTGTATCGTACGTATTAATATAAATACAATCACGTGTAATTGTCGCGAAGGATAGAGATAAGGGCTGAGAAAGGGAGAGAAAAAGAGAGATCACTTTTGGCTTTTCTAGGTGATCGCGTGTATAGGCGAGAAATTGGAGGAGCGCGAGGCGGGAAAGACCGAGGAAGTGGTCTACAGACAAACCAAGGCGATAGCGGATAAAATTAAATCTTGGGACAACGTGGTCTTGGCTTACGAACCAGTATGGGCGATCGGCACCGGTAAAACCGCGTCGCCGCAGCAAGCGCAAGAGGTTCATGACAAATTACGTGAGTGGTTGTCCAAGAATGTCAAGTCCGACGTCGCGCAAACTCTGCGAATTATCTACGGTGGTTCCGTAACAGCAGCCAACGCCAAAGATTTGGCAAAGGAGAAGGACATTGATGGATTTTTGGTCGGCGGCGCGTCATTGAAGCCTGAATTTGTACAAATCGTCAATGCTCGTGCTTGTTGAACACGCACGAGATTACAAATTATATCGCATATCGAATGAAATTGATTTCTCTATTAGGATTACGCGCATCAAGTTGCGTATTACGTTTCTGACAATGAGAAGAAAACGGATTATACATATACATATTATACATATATATCCGTTCCGTGCGATTAAATGAATTCTTCAAATGAGGGTTCTGTCTTCACATATTTTCATGCCAAGTTCTTAAGCTCTTGCAACGTAGCCACGTTATTAGGGATGTTGCGTTGTCGTTGTGTCGAACGATTGTTATACATGTAATTCTTACAAAAAAAAGTACGAGATGTATTTACGGTACTGCAAAAGATGTACTCGAAGATGAAAGATTAATACATCATCTAGCAGCTTGTCTTTGTATAGTAACGTCGATAGTGCGTAACGCAAATTCGGAAATATTGTAAAAAGTAATAAATAAATGTGGAAAGAAGAAAACTTGTTACTTTATTTGCACAACTTGTGAAGGATTATTTGATTAAACCCCTTACGATAACGCTCTTTGGTACTTGAACATTTGTAGTAGCCTTGAAATGGTCTTGCTTCGCTCTCGCGCATGCGACATCGGTAATAGCTTTGAAAGATCGAGGTTCCCAAATTGCCAAGTCAGCCAGTGACTTTCGATTCAATAGAATGTTACATCTCGTTAATCCTTCTTTAAGGGTCGCAAAATTTATACCATGTTCGCTCGTAGCAGCTTCTAGCCTCTGCTCCCGCAGCTAAAAGTGAAAAGGAGAAATGTCTTAAAACTTTAAAGAAATTTTGAGAGCTTTACACGCAATTCTTATTCCTATCCCCACATATCTCGGTAAATTTCATCGTACCTCTTTCATATCTTCCTTCTTCAATTGTCTGCCTCGAGTGCAATATGTTAGAGCTCTATGTACGTTCCTGATAGTTATACTGTAACAATTTCTCCTTCTGCCGATATAATGCTAAAAACATATTGAAAGTTTGTCAATTTATTTATCGTCTTATCGATACACATTTCAAATTCACTATCAAAAGCATTTAGAAATATCGAAAGCCTTACCGCGGCAAGCTTGAATATTTTCCGCTTTCGCCAAAATTCGTCAGGCCCGCGGGCTCTGATTAAAAGGTTCAACGATAAGAAAACCATACCTAATTGTAAATCAATCGATCGATCCAAGTAAACTGCTTTAAAAACTTGTAATTACAAGGGGCAGGCAGATTACGGTTATGTTGACGTGAAAGGTTATGTCACCGGTTGCAGTGAGAGTGTGAGAGTACTGAGTGCAGTAAGAGCGTAGTATCTGGTAGTATGTATATAGGTCTGCTCGTTTTAGCTGAACTTGTTGCACGGTTCACTTTTCCTCTATTTCTTTTCACGTTGGAGAGAAAAAGAGAAAAGATGAACTGTGCAACAAGTTGAGCTAAAACGAACAGGCCTATGTACCGGAGCAGAGAGAAACCTGTATGTATGTGCGTACATAACATACAGCAGGCACAGCAGAACGCAGCGAATTAATGGTGCCGTAATATGTGGTATACCCTAAATAATATAGACATCTAATGAATCGATAATGAAAAAGTTTGTCCTTTGGTGTGTTTCTCGCCATTCCGGAGACTTGAATATATTATATACTTAAATGTAGTCTGAAAAATTCGAATGGCAAATATTGATACGTCGCGAACTTGCCTACACCTTACCGAACGAAACCTTTTTAAATTCTAAAGATATATTAATATTTGTGTAAATAAAATGCCCACGTGTTGTAGGCATTTTCGATCGATATAATCAATAAATCGCTTATTATAACGTTACGTTAAAATAGAACGGCGAAAATGAAACGTTTGTATGGTTTGTACGCTCGATTATGCCCGTCCTGGCTGTTGGTTGGCCTTATTAAGGGCCATAGAGGTATCAACTCGGAGATCTGACGGTAAATAAAACAATGCCGAGTATCGTGAGACGATTAACAACTTTATTAATCGCGTTGTCAATATGGCACCAAAACGAAATATGACTTTGATTGGATATCTCCTAGGCATTGAACGATCAATAAGGATGTTACTGAATTATTCGCTACACGATGGATTTAATCTTAATATCACAATCCGAGACACTTTTGAACTGAGTCAAAAGCTTTGCATTCCGTTCGTTCTGCTAGATTAGCTAGATTACATTATACGTCTCGCACGCCTTCGCATTCCTCGAGCTTTCAGCTTCAGTCCTCTTTCCTCTTTCTCGCCACCAGAGAAACTTTGCAACTGACACAGTCAGCGAGATACGAACAAAAAGATATGCGACGACACAATCAGCGAAATCACAAATCACGATGGCTTGCAGGATGGAAATCTTTTAATACTAATGCATGAAATCGGCTTCCGCCACCTCCGTTTATTTTGACTGTTTGCGTTGCACTTGGCGTGATGGCTGTTACACGTGGTTTTTCGATCCTCGCTAATGCGATCCAGCTCTTGAAGTCTTCGTTCTTCTAAAGAAAAGGAAATCTTGATTAAATTCTCTACGTGTCGTACGAAAAGCGCATGGTTCGCAAAATTTCGTCTTGCGTCGTGCTGCCACGAGGAATCGAAAATGTCATTACGTTTTAATCGAGTTTATTTTTGAAGAGAAAGAAGGAAGACGAAAAGAAGGAAAAATATGAACCAACATAACGCGGACATACCATTCAGCTGATGTTCCGTATAGTATATGGGATTGTCATCAACTCCATAATGATGCTCCATCAGGTATGGCAAGACGGTCATGCTATGGCATCCATTACTTTTAAGGGGAGGTATAGGTACTTCCTGTTGCGTTTTAGAGTGCTCGCACATGGTCCACGCGTGTCTTTTAACCTGTTGCAATGTAAATCTTTTATCCGCATCTTTCTGCAACATTCCCTCTATGAGCGACTTTAAAGGTTCCTCTATTTCTTTCGGTACTGTATATTCACCCCTTCCAATGTTTTCGTATAATTTATATATATTATCTCCCTCGAAAGGATATAAACCTGTGGTTATGTTGTACCTGTAAAACTATCGATACACCAGTCTGATCTTTCGGAAATGTCGTAGGTATACACACAAGCGTTACTTACAACGTAACTCCACTACTCCATATGTCCACTTTAAAGCCTGAGAAACTTTCGCAGCCATTTGCGATTTCTGGCGGCTGAAACGCTGGAGATCCTTGACCTATCGTACATGTATCGTCTTTGGAAAACATGTCTAATGCCTAGCACAGTGGAGAGATGCGTAATCACAAATAGGAATAAAAAAAACACGCATAGTTGCAAAATGTATGTACGCGCGCGGCTGTGTGTATGTGTACGAGTGTGTCTGACACTTTCCAAATAAATATAATTTTGTCCATCTCGATACCTTTTTTTTTGTCGTTGTTATTGTTCTTGTTACAAATATCAATCTTAATAATTAAATTAACAAAAAAGTGCATACAACTTTGTTCGACTAATTGTAAGATAAAAAGTTGGAAAATGGAGTTTGTACCTCCGCGACACCAAAGTCACTAATCTTCAAGGTACCATCTAGGGTTAACAATAAATTTCCAGGTTTTATATCTTTGTGAACTATTCCCTTACTGTAAAGATATTCTAAGCCATCCAACAATTGACAGAAATAATCGTGTGCCTGCCAAAGTGGAAGCTTCTTGGTCGGCGTGCTTTCCAACATGTCCTGTAAAGAATCTAATAAATAGAAATCTAATTGTTGTTAACATTCATGCAAGCCATTGTTACAGATGTCAAAACCGACAAGTTTAAAGATTTTTCCTCTTTTCATTGAAATTTAATTGTTTTTTCACAACGTAGCACACAACTATTACGGTATGTAGCACGCAAATACGATAAGAATGATGAATGATGAATTTTCAGGTATTATCGTAAATTCTTCGTTTGCAATTTAATCGTACCATTTGAGATGAGAAAAATCTTAATATTGAGATAAAGTATCTTAGTTACAATTCAGTCAGCGTCCAAAGTTATACCGATATATTTCGAGCGACACGTTCACTAGCTTCTACAAAATATGTATATATATGAAACAAATACGATTCAATATCAAATTGAAATAAGAATCTTTCTTTGTACTAATACATCTAATACGATACAAAACATTGCTCACGCTCCCTCTCTCTCTCTCTCTCTCTCTCTCTCTCTCAATACTTGTATATAATTATATGAGTCAAATACAAAGCATAAATAAATTTTAATCAAACGTAATAAACAAAGACACAATCACACAATATTCATTGTTCATAGCTCCATTATATATCAAAAGTAATCGATATGTAAAATTTTGAGATTACAGAATTAAAGCGAATGTCAACGCGAAAGCACAAAGCTAACGTGATGTGCAAACTTGAAATAAATCAATGTTTCCTTTCGACAACTATAATTAAAGTAGGATAAACAATCATTTTATATATTATAGAAACGCCAAATCGATATCTCCTGAAATTCACCCTACCATTTGTATGCAACATATATTAACATGCGTGCGACGCGTGTACAGTAATTTAGAGTAGAATAGGTAGGAAAGAAGGTATTTGTATTAAAATTTACCTGTAATCCACATACGCAGAATTCCATAACTAGGTACATCTTTTCTTTTTCATCATTGTATAAAACATCTACGAGATTTATTACATTTTTATGTTTTAATATTCGTAACAATTGTATTTCCCTGTAAAACACCAATCGTTTATTAATATACAAAAACGAGAAATGCGAAGAAAGATATTGCAATGAAGAAAGGATTTCATCGATGTATTTGTGTGCGTAGCGCGCAAAAAAGAAAAAAAAACCGCCACGCACGACGTAAAATCGCAAATTGCATACATTCGTCGAAAAAGGCACGTTTCTCTTTTTACGCACCGTTGAACGTTCTGTTCCCCGTTCGGTATCCTTCGAAGTTTCCTCTTCTTCAGTATTTTGACCGCTCGTCGGCAAAGCGTCTGCGAATCCAGTACCTCCTTCACCTTGCCGTAACTACCCTCACCAAGAACATCACCCATGACATATTTACCAATAAATTTGCACTTTTTTCTTTTCTCCTCGTATATAATTTGATCCGAGTCGACTCTGTGGAAAAACATGTTAACCTCGTCCAAATCGTAGTTTGGATCGTCATTGATCCACATGACCGGTTCGATATCACGTAATATATCATTCTCCACTTCTTCCTCGTCAGGGTCGCATATCGTTATTTTATTGTCCATTTTTACTCCGTCGGGGAGAGCTTATAAACTACAGGATAAAGAGATCACACGAGTGATTTAACCTAAAATACAACCGGCACGATCATTGTTGTGAACACTGGTGGTGGTGGGAACGGGAAGGCAACGGCAAGGCGGAACCCGTGGAACTCGTGGAACGTGGAAATGTGGAATCAGGGAATAGGGATGCGCCATCGCGGCCATCGCCAATCTAGCCAATACCGCCAAATGCGAAGCGCCGACAGAAATTATTAAACTTGATTATTTTTAACTCTTCTGAATATATTTCGTTCACAAATCGTTTGAGTCCGTTTTTAACGTTTGTGACCAATTAGTTTTTTTGAAATTAACAATTTTATTTTAGTCACGATGTCAGCCGACCATAGTCAACGGGTTCGTGTTCTCCCATCAGTTGTCCCGCTCCGTGTCCCTCATCACAAATTACTACAAAATCCTGTTTACGCAAAGGAATTATCATAATTACGATTATTGTATAATAATATACAATCGTAATTACGATAATTCCTTTGCGTGCCAACGTGTATATACATGAAACAAAGACATGATATTCAGATATTAATTTAGAAATTTTGTTTGAAATTTAGATCCTCAAAAGCCTTTAAATTTTATAATCTTGATCTTTTGTCTTTGAGCTAGATTGTACGTTTGCAGTCTTATGACATGAGAAGCATAATTTTTGAATTTTGCTTACAATTTTACATTAACGTTCCGGTTATTAAAAAATTAATAATTTTATTGTACATTGTTATTATAAAGCAATTCTTTACATATCTTAGAAATAAAAAAGAGAAAAAATAGCATTTTTTATATATTTGTTTATTTATTTTTTTTCCGGACCAGCCGATTGGCCATCGGGGCGGAAAGGGTGCTCTCGGGACTTTGGGAATTCTCTATCCGACAGCCAATCGGCGCGTCCGAAAAATTTATCTCGCGAGTCGCGACAACGTTCGAAGCGCTGGAAGCGCATCGAGCGCACTGAGCCCACGTGGTGCGTTCGAGCGGTTCGAGGAATACGTCAATGGAAAAGAAAAAGAAGAGAAACTTTAGCATATACATAATTCGTATTTAATTTAGTATGATTTAATAAATTTGTTGATTTCCGTACGAGATAAAGTTACGGCGGAGATATATTTTAATTCGAGAGGATATTGACGAGTTTAGCATCCGTGACCTGCGTTTGCTTTAGCATTTGTTAACCTGTATAATGTAAATAAATTTGATTTTTCGACACGAAATGGCCAAATACGCGTACTTTCTATCGCGTGAAACGTCGTTAGGACTTTACCAGCCAAAACCTTCAAGATTTCTGCGTACGTGTAGCCGAACGTTGAACGTGATACGAAAATTTGCGGACGACAGACCGGCTATCATCTTGGGAATCGAAACGAGTTGCGACGATACGGGATGCGGAATCGTAGATACCACGGGAAAAATATTAGGCGAAGCGATAAATTCGCAACATCTTACTCATTTGAAGTAATCACAACTACTTCACGAGTCATTTATTAAATCGATTTATAATATTAAGTGATTAGATATGCGAACGTATTTGTATGTTATTCTAAAAGTTTATAAAATTTAATCTATATCTTCGAAATAAATGAATCGTGCAAATCTAAAAACTATTAGAAATTTTTCCAGCAAGTTGTACAACTCCTATTCTCATTTTTAGACATGGTGGCATAATACCTACAATTGCCAGTGAAATGCATAGGAAACATATTACTACAGTTTGTGAGGATGCCCTAAGATCGGCGAATCTAAGATTAAAAGATATAGATGCTATCGCAGCTACAATTAAGCCAGGTCTTCCCTTGTCGCTTGTCGTTGGAAATAACTTTGGCAAATATCTCTCTAGGATCGGTAACAAACCGTATATACCGATACATCATATGGAAGCTCATGCGTTGACCGTACGGATGGTGCAGAAAGTATGTTAGAGCTAATTTATATGTATAAAACCATACATTGTATCAAACAAATTATTGATATATATATCTTGTAGGTAGACTTTCCTTATCTTGTTTTGCTTGTATCAGGTGGCCATAGTTTATTAGCGATCGTTGAAAATGTTGATAAATTTTACTTGCTGGGTACTACGCTAGATAATGCACCCGGAGAAATTCTGGACAAGGTATATTTTTTTAAGTTTTCGTTCATCGCATGTTCAACCATAAATTATTTCATCTTGAAATTGTCTTCGCAAAATTGTCAGTCGAATTTTATGAGAGCTCTTATAAGATGTAAAAAGATCTATGAAATATAAAACGGTAAACAGATTTATTTTCAACTTTGCAGATCGCTCGTAGGCTGAAGCTCGCGAATATACCGGAATTCTCGCATATGAGCGGTGGCCAAGCGATAGAAAGCGCAGCGAGCAAAGCATCAGACCCAACTAAATTCGTTTTCGACCCTGTCTTAACAAGAAAGAGAGATTGTCAATTTAGTTTTGCAGGTATAGCAAACAAAAGTTTTAGATATGTTGATAAAGAAGAACAAAATTTTGACGTTGCTGATAGCACGGCAATTCCCGACGTGTATAATTTCTGCGCTGCCCTACAAATGTCTCTTACAAAACACGTATGTCTCAGAACGCAGAGGGCAATGGAATTTATTAATAATGCGAATTTGATATCGCAAGAAAAGCGAACCCTGGTATGCTTAAAATTATGGTCATTAAATTCCGATTATTTCTCGTTACTTACATACTCGTTTAAATCTAGGTAATATCCGGCGGGGTGGCTTGCAATAATTTCTTGGCAAAGGCTTTAGAAATTGTTTGCTCGGAAAAAGGCTTTAAATTTGTTCGAACTCCACCGCGTTTGTGCAACGACAATGGTGTAATGATAGCGTGGAACGGTGCGGAAAGGTGGACAGCGAATACAGGAGTTCTCCGAGATAGAGAGGAAATCGAAATGGTAACTGTCGAGAAAAACGCATCGCTCGGGGAAAGTTGGATCGAAAGAGTGGAAGATGCAAACATAAAATGTAAATTGGTGAAATTAAATAGTCTTTGAACAAATATACAAATTTCTATCTCCAGTTCCTCCACTTTGAAGTCCTACCTATAATAAAAATTAGTCAATTAAAAAAAATTTAGATCTCTGCATTTTTTTTTCGACGAGTCATTAACGATAATATCAGCATTATCTACAAAATATTTATTTTCGTATGTTACAAATTTATACAACGGTCGGCGTGTGCTCTTCAAATTTCCGGTTTATCCTTTCCATTAGTCGAGAATCCAAGTTACCATGTTCAATAGCATGTTTCTTCTCTTCATATTTATCTAATATACTCCGTATTCTGTCTTTGATCGCTGCTATCGTTTCTTTATCTTTCGAGATTAAGGATGTTGGCAAAATATCATCAAAACGTATCACCTGTTCGGGCCGTATTTCCTCCGGACACGTAGACACGTAGCTTGATAGATTGTGCAACGCTGGCTTGATTTCTTTGAGAATATTATCAGCATTGTCAGTGTCCATTTTATTAATTATAATCATGGCTGGCATTCGTAATAAATCCGGTTTGTAGAGTTCGATCTCTTTGTTCAATAAGACCACAGTTTCCAAGCAGGATCTATGTCCATGCTTGGGTGACAATTTAAACCCCTGTATATCTACGATAAACATAAGTAGCTTTGTTCTTTCAATATGTTTTAAGAACTGGTGACCCATCCCGATATTCATGTGTGCCCCCTCGATAAGACCCGGTAAGTCTGCAACGGTGATCTCTCTTAAATCATGGTACTTCACGATTCCTAATTTGGGCCTTATGGTAGTGACTATAACAGAAAAAATATGACTGCAGTCAAAGATCTAAATTAATGAGCATAAATGTTTCTTAGGAAACTACATGAAATGATCTGATAATTAATTAATAAAATATGTGAAAAGTCTTACAAGGATAAGCAGCGATTTTAGGTTTGGCATTTGAAACCGCTGCCAAAAATGTACTCTTGCCAGCGTTGGGAAAGCCAACTAATCCGATATCGGCAATCAATTTCAAATCTAACTTTATCGTCTGAGATTCTCCCTTCAATCCGCAGTAGCCTGTTTCTTGGGTACCACCTGCGCCACCTTTGGCTACTAATAGTTTCGAGTCCTCTTCATTTAATTCTCCTATAAATTTTCAAATAAAAAGAAAAAGAAAATCATGACAAACGTATAACTTTAAATATAAAGCTTTAAAAATTATGCCTACCTAACAATACTCCATTCTGATTATATATCACAATGCCACGTGGAACTGAAATAATCTTGTCTGTACCAGGTGTACCTATAATTCCCCTTGCTGAGCTGTCACTCCCTGAATCTGCTGTGACTCGTTTGGTCTTCAAGGTCTTGAGAACCTTCTCCAATGTTAGCCCATCTTTTGCAACTACATATATATTACCCCCTGCGCCGCCCAACCCACCGTAACGAGACAACCCAGCACCTCCTGTACCTCCCCTAACATGAAGGCGCAAGGTGTCGATGAATCTGGAACGTAGATATTTTCTTGGTTGCTACAATCAAATGAAGAGTTTTCTTTGTCAGTTAATACACATAAAATCATAAATCTTATAACACTTAATTCAACAAGATCTACCTAACCTTTTTCACGCAAGCTAAAACTTGTGTCAAAAACACCATTGTATAAGTGTTACAGCACGAATATATAATTACAATTATTTTTTTATGATCTTACACTCTACTTTCCAATCTATTTACGTATATTAAGCGATATACATATCATTTTGTCGCGAGAGGTTAAACTCGCTGTTGCATCCACCGCAACTTTGTCAAACACGCGCCACTCGGCCACTTCGACTTTATTCATCGAGTTTGTATACCGATATTCGAGTTGATCAAAAAGTTCGCAAGATGGTCTCTAGGTGGCACCTCAGTCTTCATTTCTGTCAAAATTAAATTTATTCTGAAATTAATAACGTATAGTACGATTGTGAAAGCAATAACATCATTAATATTGCTGCAAAATATTTATTTTATGTCATATAGGAACCTATACAAAGAGATACTTCAATGCGACAAAAATAATAATAAATATTTTACGAATCCTAAAAATTTAAATTCTTAAAAATTGATAAATTATAAAAAAGAAATACTATGCGATTTGTACAAACGTCAAAAGTTGAAAATTTTATTTAACGTCGATAACTGTCGGACAGATATCAATATAACTATAATGATAATCGGTAAAGTTCCATACATTTTTATTGCAAAATATTTTATTAATCTCAAAAGTTTAAATATTCAAATATTGCTAAAATTATTAAAAGAATAAAATAAGAAACAGACAGGTATAGCAGAGCAATTTAATATTTTGTTTGGCTCATAATGCATATAGATAATACTTACAAGGTTTAAAATTATAGATAATAATTAGAATACGAGCTTTCGAATTACAAATATCAAAAGTCTCGAAAATCGAGAAACAATCAAAAGAATATAATCGGCAAGGAAGTTGTACTATATCTAAAATTTCAAGAATTTTCTAAGATTTCAAAAAATTGCGATTCCAAGAATCGGGATTAAAAATCACAATTTTTAGATAGTCTTATAAGGTTTAAGGTTTTAAAATTTTAAAAACATCTAAAAAGACCGTTTTTAAGAAATATTTTAGACACACGTGTTGTCTAAATAGATATAGATATAGCTTATTATTTTGCTGGCTACGTAGAAATAAACCACGTGACGAAATAGATGCGACGCGACGGAAGTCTATTACATATCGCGGCATAAATATTTCATTGACGCAATCACATGATGTCTATAAAATCGCAATACTTTTTATTTAAACGAAAACAACATAAACACGGTTCAATGTTTTAAAGATATTACAGCAACGAAAAGAATTACGACTATACATATAAGAAATAAATTAAGTATTACACATATATATGAATGGAAGAAAGAATTAAAATTCAAGAACATAATAAGGCCAACTCGCGGTCTTATCAATTTAATTGCAAGAATGTCACAAAACAAGAACAATAAAATAATGAAGAAAAAAAAAGATCTCTGTTATCTTCAAATACATCTTAAATGCATCAAATACATCATAACAAAATTAATATTAACGGTCATTTTATTTATGTAAGTCAGCGTGCATGCGATTAATCTTAAATATTAATTAAGCTTCATCAAAGCTTTTCTAATTCTTAGTTTTTCCTTTCACATTTGTTTCTAAAAAGTGGATATTGCGAAGGACAAACTGGACAAACACGATTTAGATCTTCAGGAAAGTGAGTCGCAGTTAACAGGCGATTCTCCAGGAGCTGAACAGAGTTGCGATGCATATCCTCAGGTCAAGTGAAATCAATTACGAGAGCATCGCACAGCGCATCAATTGATAGCGTCGTCGGAGAAACGAGGGTCGAGGGAGATCTTCTCTCTTCTCGATGAAACTCGGAGATTCGTCTAACGGTGGAGGCGCGTTCGCGAAGCGAAGCGTTAAAATTAAATCTAGCCAGAGGCCGTCGGCTACGTCGTCGGTCGTCGGCGACGATGAGTCGTCCTCTCAAGCTCAGTCTCAAGAGCATCCCCTGGCTGCACGGATGCATTCCGGTCACCGATCGACCTAGCGCATTCCCCGCCGCGAATCTCTCTCTTTCCCCGTGAACCGCCCTCTCTTTGTGCGACGCGCACCCGAAAATCTGCGAACGTTCGAGGATCCCTCGCGAGACGCTGAATTCGCGCGAACTCGAGGCTCTCGATCACTCTCATCTAAAAACTTTGCCGAGGTAATGCTTCGTTGTATTGGATCCATTGAGATCCAAATTTATAATTGGAGAGCATGGCACACAATTTCTCGTCCTTCCTAGTCATTATACTCATTAGCGTCAACTTAATCGTAGAGCTTCTCTCATTATTTAACACACATTGTCTACCGTCGCGTAGATTAGGACATCGGGAATACTGTATTCAGTGCGCATACTTGAAGCGGATAATTATAAGTTCCGAGACAATGCGGATCTTACATTTTTACAATGCGCCAGGGATTGAGGGCGCGTTATACAGGATTAGCAGGATACGCTGCGTGGGATTTAAACGCCAATATCATCGTTCGCCGTTCAACCAGATCCGAAAGAGAGAGAGAGAGAGAGAGAGAGAGAGAGAACGCTCGACTATGCAATCACCAGAGGACACGTACTGTCAATTTTCCAATGTTTTCTCGACTCGATTGGGATTTACGGGGAATTTCACCATGCGTTATTGATAATATATTCTATTTATATAAGAGAATCGGATAATCTTAGAGATAAAAACATTTTCTTTATTTCTTTTCAAGCTCTGGAAAATGTGCATAAAAAAATATCGACAAGTACTTGAAATTAACGTCTAGACTAAACGTAAAATCGATCTGGTGAAGTAGTTGCCAGAATTTTGGTCGTCCAATCGTTGCTGAATGGTAGGACGAGGAGGAGAGCACACATGTATGCGAGGAGTATGTCATCGGGTTACTAGCCTTGATCATCGGCCAAATACTTGACGGGGAAAGCACACCGTTGTCACGCTACTCGTGCTAATTTTACGTACGCCACATACGACGCAGAAAAACTATGAAAATTGACAATAACGGTGGAGCCTCGTGACAATGTAATTAATTGCAGCTTCAACAAGTTGTTCCCCGCAAATGCTTTTAATCACGCGACTTATTTATTTGTCGATCAAACACTCGCACTATAACGATCATACGCTAGAATCATACATCTCTAAAAACATATGTCCGCATACGCAAGACGTGGAGCGATTCAATTTTATTATCCTGCTTTTTATCAGTCTAGAAAATAAGAAAATCTTTCATTCTTAAATGAAAAAGGACAAATTGAACTTTGCGGTTTCAACTTTAAAAGTCGCATTTCCGCACAGATGGACCGAGAGGACGAGGACTTTGGCGAGGGCTACATCGCGGAATCGCACCCGTTGAGGCCGACGCATCTCACGGTACCGCTCGGTGGACGCTCCGATTCGCGGGCACCCAGCATCAGCAGCAGCGTCAGCGATCTCGACGTTCCGATATACGCCAGAGAGACCACGATACCTCTCTCAGCGAGGAAGGTAAAGCTCTCGTCGCGATGCGTTCATCGAACGAACGAGCGACGTATATATTTGTTGTTTCAACAAACAAAGCTGAATACACATGAAATTAAATTCGTTCCTCGAAATTAAACACGCGCGTCAAAGTGAAATGTAATGAGAATTTATAACGACGTGAGAAAATTCAAGTCCGATAAAACAAACTCTTGATAATATAAGGGTTTTAATTTAGTATTAATTTTATTCATTCTTAATTATTTACGGCATTACGGCATTTTATAAGTACTACAAAATGTTTTTTTTTCTCTTGAAGAACAGATGAGGTTCTTTAATTCTTCTCAAAGCGGTCGATGTAAGAGTTGCGTAAGCGAAGCTGGGAATTGATATATCATTCAATCGGAGAGACTCGAAAATAATTCGCTTGCTCCTTATATCGAAAGATGTCGCGGTAATGTTGCCTGGACTTGTGCCGTAGCACAATCGCCGATTAAACGCGAGCGTGAACGCGCCGTTTAAATCGGAGCGCGGCAGACAACGAATAACGATACCGAGCTAGCGCTCGAGGCGCGCCGGACCGCGAACGGACTAACGGAGACGAGCACCTATGTAACGAAACATGCGCTAGCGGGAAAACACCCTATTTTTAGAGCAATGTCGAAATCACGTGGTTATTTAAAGTCAGGTGGGCGGACATGCGCGCTCACGCGCGCACGCACGTCTCGCCGACTTTGTAAAAGTGATGTGGAAGACCCGCGTCTTTTCTTCAATTTTGTTTACGAGGTGGCATCCGCGCGAAACCCGCGTGCGTCGAGCAGCACGCGCTTTATCGAATTACAAATTGTTGTAGCTGCATCTCAAATCAATTGGCTCTGTTCTTCGTGTCGGTCGTGCAACATTGTTGTACTGTGTCCGTCTAAAATGAAATAGATATATAATTAGACGTTGGAGGGAAAAGGAGAAAAGATACAAAAGTACAAAAAATTCAACTACAAAGAATAGAACGAAAGTTCTCTGACTCTAAAGGCTTGTCGTAACGTACATACAGGTGATCCGCGAATAACACGGTAAAAAATTATGACAACCTTACTCTTTTAAAAGTTTCTTTTAGTAATCCCTTGGAATCAAATTTTATATCAAATGCTCAATTTTATATGGATCTGAAGTCTTGAATTACACGGTTTTCAATAGCACAAAACGTGATCTTCAAAATTACATGAATCCTAAAAATATCGAATAATACGGCGCTTTTTCAATTAATTATGTTATTCGAGAGTTATCTCTATTATGATCTCGCGAATCCATCTCGTTTTGCGATCAACCCATGCGACCAACCGTTCGGCCGATTTATCGTCACATTCTGCACAAATCATCACATAACGTCCTCTTATGTAATCTTATGTAATTCGTGTTTTTTTAGGGACCGATCGAAAGTATGTATCGATTAACGGCGTCAGAGTAGTGGATGAGCGTCGAAAGATTGATTTTTAGTTCCTCAAACGTTGACCGAGTTGACAATTGTTTTAATGAACGCCCAAACGCCGTGTGCTCGCGTACATGCATTGCGCTTAGGAATTTTCTCGGAATACAGGCCGGCGTCTTAAGATGATTATCACGTCGGATTATTGGCAAGAATTCCACACAACGTGTAACTCGCTGTAAAGCTCTCCTCGCCTACCTATATTTTTCTCAAGTGCAATGTCGTCACGCGAAAAATATTAAACGCTCTAAAATACGTTTAATTAACATCCCTTCTCTATACTTCTATAAGATC